ATTCAGGTAGACGGATTTAGCGATGGTCTTCCCATTGGTCGGTATACCCTAGTCATAAATTACAGTAAGCTTCATTGCTAAAACAAATTGTTCTGATTTTCTCAGAGAAGAAGATTTTTATGTTTATTTCAGGCTACCCAGCCACTTGGAGAGGAGCAGAAAAATCCTTTGTAATTACTCGTGAAAGCTGGATAGGACCACGAAAGGATTTTCTTGCAATTTCTTACATGGCAGTCGGTGTTTTTCTAATTCTAGTCAGCATTTTATTCTTGGGAATCAACATTAGGCAACGAGTGCTCGAAAGAAGGGCCCAAAACTGATACCTCGTTTAAGGTTTTTTTTTCTTTTCAAGGAAAGGATAATATCTCAAGACAGCATTTTTCATGTCGCTTATTTCATTCTTGTATTTTTTGCCCAAGATGGCACATCATATCGAATGTACAGAATTCCTTCATGTGTTCACCCTATAAATCTAGTTTGCGAATTTCATAAAACGGGTGCTATCGTACATCTATCTTTTGTACGAGATACTTATTGTCATTACATTATGATAAAAGCTTTTTTTAAACAGTTTCACAATGGAAATCTAAAGTGATGTATGCGATTTTTACTCATAGAGAATATAATCAACACTATTGAAAAATGAATGCAATGAATAAAATTCCAGGCAACGAAAGCGAAATCTTTTGCAACAGCTCGAGCACATTTGACACATCCCACGTAATTTTCGGATCATGGTTCATAACATCGATCACTGAGAAGAAGCTTTATTGATTACAGAATACCATATATAGATCGACATATCGATATTCGCTGCAGTCAAAATTGCTCTTCTACTATTCCTGAATCGAATAGTTTTTTTAGACTCGATATGCACTGTAGTTGCAATCTGGAAAACTCTCGAAATTCCTCTCTTCATAATTTGGCAAGGCGCAGGAAATATAGTGATATTTCCTGCTCAACGAATAAACAACGGCAATAAGGCTCGCATTACTGTCCTGCTATTCACATACATAATGGAGG